TTCCTCCTAGAATAGAGGACACCATATTTGACTAAACCTTTGATAAAAAATAAATTTCAGGGCTGGGAAAGTGGCTCAGTGGTAGAGTGCTTGCCTTGCATGCATGAGGCCCTGGGTTCGATTCCTCAGCACCACATAAGCAGAAAAAGCTGGAAGTGGTGTTGTGGCTCAAGTGGTAGAGCACTATCCTTGAGCTGCAGAGCTGAAGGACAGTGCCCAGGCCCAGAGTTCAGGCCCCACGACCGGCAAAAAATAAATAAAAAATAAATAAATAAATTTCAGTAAGTAATTTTCATCCCAGTTATACTCTACTTCATTGAGAACAACTAGTTTTAAATGTCATTATTTTGAAAATAGTAACTTATATTTCATAGAAATTGGAACCAGCCCTTTGACATTATGACTACATAAGAGGGACAAAATAGTTTAAGATGCAACATGAGCATTCACATTGGACATATCTGAATTCAGATTCAGATTATGCCATTTGAAAGCTTCAATCAATTAATGCCCTTCTCTAATCCTGTTTCCTCAATACATAAAAAGCATGCCTATCAAGGCAAACTGGTGGCTCTGGCCTTGTAATTCTAGCTATTCCGGAGGCTGAAAACTAAGGATCAAGATTTGAAGCTAGCCCAGAAAAGTCCATGAAACTCTCATCTCCTCTCCAATTAACTGGCAAAGTGCTAGCCTTAAGCAAAAAAATTTCAGAACAGTGCCCAGGATCTGGCCTCCACCCCACCCTGCCCAAACACGTAAGCATACATATCACAACCAACCTACTTACTCAAATGGTAAGGATAAAATAGTGCTTAATACTCTTGGCTCAGCCGGGTGTTGGTGGCTCATGTCTGTAATCCTAGCTATTCAGGAGGCTGAGATCTGAGGATCTCGGTTCAAAGCCAGCCCAGGCAAGAAAGTCTGTGAAACTCTTATTTCCAATAAACCACCAGAAAACGGGAATTGATGTTGTGACTCAAGTAGTAGAGCTCTAGCATCGAGTTAAAGAGCTGAGGGACAGCGCTCAGGCCCAGAGTTCAAGCTCCACGATCTATATATATATATATATATATATATATATATATATATATATATATATATATTCCTGGCTTACTAGTACATACACAGTGATGGTACTTTCAATAAATCTTGTTCCATTCACCTTTTTCATGAGCTAGCAATTCAACCCAGGGCCTTCTGCATGCTAGCACTCTACTATAAGCTATATGCCACCAGCCCTCACTTTTTTTTTTGGTCAGTGTTGGGGCTTGAACTCAGCCTGGGTGCTGTCCCTCAGCTCTTCAGCTCAAGGCTAGCACTCTACCACTTGAGCCACAGCATCAATTCCAGTTTTCTGGTGGTTAATTGGAGATAAGAGTCTCATGGAGTTTCCTGCCGGGGCTGGCTTTGAACTAAGATCCTCAGATCTCAGCCTCTTGAGTAGCTAGAATTACAGGCGTGAGCCACTAGCTCACGGCTTCTTTTTGTTGTATTTTTGGTCAGTCATGAGGCTTGAACTCTGGGCCTGGGCACTGTCCCTCAGCTCTTCAGCTCAAGGCAAGCACTTTACCACTTGAGCCACAGTGCCACTAATTCACTTAAAGCTTGACTGGTGCTTTTGGCTCATGCCTATAATCCTAGCTACTCAGGAGGAGGAGATCTGAGAATCATAGTTTGAAGCCAACCCAGAGAGAAAAGTTCCCATGAGACTCTTACCTCCAACTAACCACTCAAAAACTGAAAGTGGTGCTGTGGCTCAAAGTGATAGAGCGCTAGCCTTGAGCAAGAGCTCAAGGACAGCACCTAGGCCCTGAGTACAGTATGTATAACCAACCAAAAAAGAAAAAAAAAGATATCTAAAGCCTGAAATTTAACTTCCAAATCACAAGAAAATATTACTTATATTCAAATCATTTCCTAATAGTACATAAATTACACATTAGTGGTTCAAAAAACAATGCACGCTGGGTACCAGTGGCTCATGCCTATAATCCTAGCTACTCAGGAGGCTGAGATCTGAGGATCATAGTTCAAAGCCAGCCAGGACAAGAAAGTCCAAGAGAGTCTTATCTCCAATAAACCATTAGAAAACCAGAAGTGGCGCTGTGGCTCAAATGGTAGAGCACTGGGCTTGAACTGAAGAGCGCAGGGACAGCGCCCAAGCCCAGAGTTCAAGCCCCACGACTGACCAAAAAAAAAAAAAAAAAAAAGCAATGCACTACTTGTTTTTTCTAACACAAAGCACTTCTCCTATAAGAAGTTCTCAAAAATAAAATATCTCTACTTGTTTTTGCAGTGCAGAGTAGGAATTTATATACTGTATGAGAAATAAAATACAGATGTTTTCTAAGTTTCTTTTCACCCGAAGGTATTTTTTTCTTTTTCAGGTCATGGACTTGAACTTGAACTCGGTACCTGATGCTTTGCTCATTGGATGGTACTCTACCAACTGACCAACACCACCAACCCCCAAGGGGATTTTTGATTGTAAGCAAAAGATGATTTATCCCAGCATTCAGGAAGCTGAAGCAAGTTAGAGGCCAGTGGGAGGAAAAAAACCTTATTCAATGTTGTAAACAATTTATTTCCTAAGAAACACTGTAAAAAAAAGACACAAGCCAATTGATTTTAATGATAAATGAACAATAATGTTTTCTAGCTGATGGAGGGAAACTTTATGCTTAAAACGATCTACAAGCTACGAGCCAGTGGCTCACACCTGTAATCCTAGCTACTCAGGAGGCTGAGATCTGAGGATCACGGTTCAAAGCCAGCCCAGGCAGGAAAGTCCGTCAGACTCTTACCTCCAATAAACCACTAGAAAACCGGAAGTGGCGCTGTGGCTCAAGTGGTAGAATGCTCTCCTAGAGCTGAAGAGCTGAGGGGCAGCGTCTAAGCCCAGAGTTCAAGCCCCACAACTGACAAAAAAAAAAAAAGATCTACAGTTGAATAATCTCAATGCGTTCAACAATATAACAGAAAGAGGAGTAATGACTATAAAGCTGTGAAAGTATTTTACAAATTCAGTCACCAAATTAAAAACCAGTGTTCCTCATTTTAAATAACAGGCAAGAGGATTGAAGCCAGGTGTTAGTGGCTCATGCCTGTAATACTAGCTACTCAGGAGTCTGAGAATTGAGGATCATGGTTCAGAGCCAGCCTAGGCAGAAAAGCCTGTAGATTCTTATCTCCAATTAACTACCAGAAAACTGGAAGTGGCAGTGTGGCTCAAAGTGATAAAGCACTACTTGCTTTGAGCTAAAGAGCTCAGATATAGAGCCCAGGTCCTGAGCTCAAGCACCACAACTGAGAAAAAAAAAAATAGACACTTGCCAACCAAAAATCCGTGCATTGACAACCAATGATGACATCTGTCTACAGATCTAACTTATTATTTTGTCTTCAAAATAAAATGAAAAAAATCAGATACAGATATAATATACCATGATGTGGTAGGGAGTCTTATCAAGATGCCAAGTACTGGTCTCTCATGTCTATAATCCTAGCTACTCAGGAGGCTGAGATCTGAGGATCATGGTTCAAAACCAGCCCAGACAAGAATTTGTGAGACTTATCTCCAATTAACCACCAGAAAACCGGAAGTGAAACTGTGGCTCATAGAGCCCTTGTCTTGAGCAAAAAAAGCTCAAGAACAGCACCTTGGGTCCTAAGTTCAAGCCCCATGACCTACCAAAAAAGAAAAATAAAGAAAAAAATTTATATTCACATATTTTAATTTTCTTCCTCTGCCTTCACTTCTAACTTAACACTTTTTTTCCAATGAAAAGTTAATAAGTTATCTGCTGTATAATGATATACTCACCACAGAAACATTAATTTCCCTATTTCCATAATTACAATGACTAAAAACACACAGTAGGCATTTAATAACAAGATGAATATACGAGATGAACAACAAAAAAAATTTCCACTTAATATACATGTCTGCCTTTTAAACTTTGTACATTTCATGTAATTTGCTATAATGGCATACAAAAATACTATATGCCATAATACTACACAAAAACTTTCAATAGTTGGGATATTAACTAGAAAGCACTATCACTAAACACTAAATCCCTTATTTTTCCCCACCACCAAATCTGACAATATTCAACAGGAAGCACCCATTATGTGTATCCCAATTCTCAAACAATAAGAAGTGAATAAAAAAAATAAAATACTAGGTCTGTGAGATCAGAACATATTTAATCAGCAAATTACCAAATCTGGTTTGCAACATCCCCTCCTCCGGGAACTAGAAGTGTTTCAAGTGTCTTAAATTTTTATTCTAGTTTAACATAAAATCTGTTTTTGTGCAGTCTGGAAACAATTTACGGGTAAGAGATCACTAATATAAATCAAATAAATGATCTGTAAGTGACTTCTCAAGAAAGATTTGGAGCTGTTTCTGAGGCTCAGGTGGGCAGTCCAGCCAAGTCTCCACCCAGGAAGCAAACAAAAAAAAAAAAAAGAGGAAAGATATACATACCTAGAGAAAGTCCGACAATGCCAAGGAGAGCCCCAAAGAGATCTCACCCCACCCTCGTCTATTCTCCAACCTTTCTCCCTGATCTCACTGCCTCAGGGAGAACTACATCTATCCTGCACTACCCAAGCTCACCCTCGATTCCCAGCCCTCAGCTGCACGACAGAGCCCTGGGCGGCGGACCCCGGCCCCCTCGCTCGCTCCCACGGGATAGGTGTCCGAGGCGCCGGTCTCTGATAGTGCTATTACTTCTCTCAAGCCCAACTCATCTTCCCTCCTCCCCTCTGCCCTCCGTCCCTTGAACTCTGTCCCGTCACGCTGACCCTTTTCCCAGAATCCTCCCCAAGTCGGTCAGGCCCCCGCCTCCCTCCCACCTCCCGGCTCCTTCCATCCCGCGGGGCCTCGAGCCCCTTCCCCCCCACCCGTGGCCTCCCTCACGGTTACCCGGCACCGGCCCCTTCCCCAACTCCGCCCCTCTCCCCCCCCCCGCCCCAAAGAGAAGCCCCCTCACCTCAACGCCGTTGCCGTCCCCAAAGCTGAAAGGTGCTGGCGCTGGACGGCCTCCGAGGCTCTGTCCCCGCGGAGTTCCAGAAGCCCCTAGGGAGAGCGAACGCCCACTCTTCCAATTCTACCAGCCCCAGGCCAGGCCGTCACCGTAGCCGCCGCCAGTACTACGGTCGCCATGTTGAGGTCCTACTTCCCTCCTCCTTCTCTTTGGCGCCCCGCCCCCTTAGGCGTCTGACGTCAACACGCTGCGCCCCACCCGCCGGGACCAATGGGAGGAGCTGACGGTGACGTAACTAATTCCTCTCCCACAGCTGAACAACTCCTACAACCTGCAACCTTGCCTTTTAAAATGGGAACCCTGCTAAACCTAGGGTCTCTACGAGGGTCCCTAAGAGGGTGATGCTCAACGTTAAGGATTCAGCCAGAGCAGACTCACCCAAAGCTTTGAACTGCGAAGGACACACAGATACTGAGCAGGCAGCCGTCGTGTTTGGATATTAGGATGCCTAACTTCTGTTCCCAGGTCAGCAAACTGATAAAAGTCGCAGGCTCTCTAGGCCTCACTTTTCACATATAAATGAAGAGGCTGAAAGAGGACCTTTAAATGTCTCTCCAGGGGCTGGGAAGGTGGCTCAGTGGTAGAGCGCTTGCCTTGCATGCATGAGGACCTGGGTTCAATTCCTCAGCACCACATAAGCAAAAAGAAAAAAGCCAGAAGTGGTGCTGTGGCTCAAGTGGTAGAGTGCTAGGCTTGAGCTGAGGGACAGCGCCCAGGCCCAGAGTTCAGGCTCCACGATCGGACCCCCCCAAAAAAAAAGATAAATAAATAAATGTCTCTCCAGTTTTGACATTCAACGTGTTGAAACCCAGGTAATCCAATCCCAAGCTTTCTGTGTTAATTGAGATGTCTGCTGGAATTAGATACATGGAAGATTCATAACTGAATTAAAAGAACATTTGTTCTCAAAAATTCTTACTCAGTGGGGGAAAATGAAGAATGAATATGTAGAAAAAGCCATAAAGTGATCAAGGTGTAACAGGTGCCAGAGATCAAATTCAAAAACTCAGCTTGCTGGACAAGTTCTCTACCACTGAACTGTTCATCTTCACCTCACATTTGGTTTTTGGTAAAGATCCTAAACCAAGCTCTGGCAGCTTAGGCCTGTAATCTTAGGTACTCAACAGGCTGAGATCTAAGGATCAAGCCCCAGTACTAGCAAAAATAAATAAATAATCCTAAATTTACTAGAGGAATTAGGAAAGAATTGCATCTCTAGATAAAGCATGTATCTAACCCTATATTTTCTCTGGAATTTTTTCAGAACTCGATTGTTTTAAGGATTTTGACTTTTACTTTGCATAAGTTGAAAGCTATAGTAGAATTGTCTCAAGAGAAGGAACATAATCTTTTTAAAAATTAAGCTGGGTGCCCGGCATTGGTGGCTAACGCCTGTAATCCTAGCTGCTCAGGAGGCTGAGCTCTGAGGATCCTGGCTCAAAGCCAGCCCCGACAGGAAACTCTGTTAGACTCTTATCACCAATAAACCACTAGAAAACGGGAAGTAGTGCTGTGCCTCAAGTGGTAGAGCGCTAGCCTTGATCTGAAGAGCTGAGGGACAGTGCCAGGCCCAGAGTTCAAGCCCCACGACCAAAAAAAAGCAAACGAAAAGAAAAAAGGAAAAATTAGCATGTATTAGTTGTAGTTGTAGAATGGGAGTTTCTTTATGACATGAATACAGTATAACACGATATCTCATTCTTAATGTACTCCTCCTAATTAAAACAATTTCAACAGGGTTTATTTTTCTATTCTCCAACATGCAAACTACTTACACCAGATCACATTTGCCCTCTTCATCTGTCTTCATTAGTTGTCCATGTTTCTGCTGGTACCCATTTTCCCTGCTACCATATTTTCTTTTTCTTTTCTTTTTTTTTTGTCGGTCGTGGGGCTTGAACTCTGGACCTGGGCACTGTCCCTCAGCTCTTCAGCTCAAGGTAAGCACTCTGCCACTTGAGCCACAGCACCACTTCCAGTTTTCTGGTGGTTTATTGGAGATAAGAGTCTCACAGACTTTCCTTCCTGGGCTGGCTTTGAACTGCGATCCTCAGATCTCAGCCTCCTGAATAGTTAGGATTACAGGCGTGAGCCACCAGCACCCAGCTTCCATATTTTCTTTATTCAGGTGTTATTGAGCAGCTTTGCTGGTTCTTCAATGTGGCTCTTAAGAGCAATGCTTTAATAAACATGAGTATGCAGACAATTTTTGTGTGTGTGTGCCAATTCCAGTCCATTAATGCTAATTAGCTCCAATGTTAAAAGTAACATAAATACACCAGTTATCTTTCATCCTACCTTTGACTCAACAGATAATTGATAAAAATCGGTTAGCCTTTTAACCAATATTTACCCTTTTCCTATTCTAACCCTGTCCCCAACAAGAGTACTCGTGCTAACCCTAACTCTAATTATACCCAAATCCTAATATTAACAGCAATACTGTATTTCACATTCATCCTTTTACTCACCTTGTATTTCAAAATTTATTTTCAGTTTTATTCCCTAACCCTAACTCTAGCCAGAAACCTAAACCCTAACCCTAATCCAAATGGTGACCCAAGCCTAAAATCAACAAAAAATTTTTGAGTTTTGATTCACCCTGATACTTCATTCATAATTTGTAATTCGTAATTTGCCCCAAATCCTACAGATTTCCTGACCATATGTCTAAAACTATCAGTTTAACTAACATGAAAAATACTTCACATTCTAGGAGTTAAGATAAAGTTAACATCAATAGACACTACGGGAAGTCAATGGACATAAAAGTTCATGTTAGGGGAAAAGATGGCTTTAGATTTAGGGTCATGAATCTGTAGGATTTAGGGCAAACTGCAACTAACTGTAAGAAGTATGAGTAATATATCAGGATTAATCAGAACTCATGTATCTTTTGTTAATATTAGGATTGGGCCACCATTAGGATCAGGGTTAGGGTTAGGATGCCAGCTGGGATTAGAGTTAGGGAAATGGAACCCTTAGGGTCAAACTGAAAACAAATTTTGGAACTACAAGTCATCTTAACTAAAAGTTAAGATGAATGTGATACAATATTGCTATTAAGATTTGGATTAGAGCCAGGACCAGTGGCTCAGGCCTATAAGCCTAGCTACTCAGGAGACTGAGATCTGAGGATCTGGGTTCAAAGCCAGTCTGGGCAAGAAAGTCTGTGAAACTCTTATCTCCAATAAACCACCAGAAAACCCAAAGTGGTGCTGTAGCTCAAGTAGTAGAGTGCTAGCCTTGAGCTGAAGAGCTTAGGGACAGTGCTCAGGCCCAGAGTTCAAGCCCCATGACCAAAAAAAAAAAAAAAAAAAGATTAGGATTAGGGGTTAGCCTGAGTGCTCCAGTTAGGGTTAGGATTAGATTTAGATTTAGGAAGAGTAAAGATTGAGTAAAATGGCAACCTATTTTAACAAGTATCAGTTGGTTCAAAGCTAGAATGAAATAAAACTGACATATTTGTGTTACTTGAAGCATCTGAAGGTAATTAGGTTTAGGCTTAAGTTTAGTTTTCTAGTTCAGGTTAGGGTTAGGGTTATGAAAGGGTAAGCTTTAGGGTAAAACTGAGTTTCTACTAAGAATTAGAAGTAAAATACATGTGAAATTTAATAGAAAGAGTATTTTCCTTAGATTTACTATTCATGATTAATTAGGGTTAAGTTTTACCTAGTTAAGTTTAACTCTTAGGATTCCAGTGAGGAATAGGGTTAGGAAATGGGTTACATGTTAAGTAAATCTGAATCATTTTAAGTTTTAGGAGTTCAGGTAAATTTAGCATCAATAGAAACTATAGTGTTTTTTATAATATCAAGATTGGAGAACAATGGGTTTAGTGGAAAATTAATTTAGTGAAATGATAGTTTTACAATTAAGGTGAGTATATACATAGAATTTAAGGCAAGCTACAACTTATTTCTAGAAACACAAGTGGAGTATCAAGAAGATGTAGAAGGGAGGAGTCCCCACTAGGGGGTGTTGGGGCCATCCTCAAGATTTTTTTTTTGTTGGTCATGGGGCTTGAACTCTGGGCCTGTACACTATCCCTGAGCAATTCAGCTCAAGGCTCGCACTCTACCACTTGAGCCACAGTGCCATATCCGGTTTTCTGGTGGCTAATTGGAGATGAGTCTCAAGTGTGTTTCTGCCCAGGCTAGCTTTGAACCTGATCCTCAGATCTCAGCCTCCTGAGTAGCTAGAATTACAGGCCTGAACCACCAGTGCCCAGCCTTCCTCAAAATTTTTTAGTTTTGTTTTGTTTTCTCATATTGGGGGAGGACTGAGAACTAAAATAAGAATGAGAGTAGAGGGGCTGGGAAGGTGGCTCAGTGGTAGAGCGCTTGCCTTGCGTGCCTGAGGCCCTGGGTTCGATTCCTCAGCACCACATAAGCAAAAAGAAAAAAGCCGGAAGTGGCTCTATGGCTCAAGTGGTAGAGCGCTAGCCTTGAGCTGCAGAGCTGAAGGACAGCACCCAGGCCCAGAGTTCAAGCCCCACGACTGGACACAAAAACAAAAACAAAAAAGAATGAGAGTAGATTGGTCAATATGGGTGAAATGGTGGAGTATATCTGCCAAATGGCTCAAAAATTTAAAAACAATTTTGGTTAAGAGACACATTAGCATACAAATTGACCTTTGAATACTTGCTAGATGGATGTAGGAGTTAGCTTGGTGGAAGAGTGGGAGTCACAGGAAACCTACCACGTGGCCTTGTCCCTTGCTAGGTATTAATCTCCAGGGCCTGTAAAGAGAATTGGAGGAGGTATACAAACCAGATTTTTTTTGTCAGTTGTGGGCTTGAACTCAGGGCCTTGGGGCTGCCCCTGAGCCTCTTTGTGTTCAAGGCTAGCACTCTACCACTTAAGCCACAGTACCACTTCTGGTTTTTGAGTAGTTAATTGGAGATAAGAGTCTCATGGGGACTTTTCTGCCTGGGCTGGCTTCAAACCAGTATCCTTAGATCTCAGCCTCCTGTGTAGCTAGGATTACAGGCGTGAGCCACTGGCACCTGACTCCCAAACCAGATTTTTTTAAGGGGAAGAGGCAATACTTCTCCTAAATTCCTGCAGTCCACAAAGAGGACCAGGCCACTCAAGCAAAAGACAGAGAGAAAAAGATTGAACTGCTCCTACTACATTTACAAGACAGTTACCTTTACAGAGGAGATGGATG